ACTCGATGGCACATAACAACAACAGCATTCTTGGCTGTAACATACTGGGAAAGGTAGAGGGTCAGAGAAAAAGAGGAAGACCCTTAGCTGGGTGGATTGACACAGTGACTGTAACAATGGGCTTGATCATGGTGGAGTTTGTGAGGATGGCTCAAGATAAGACAGGAGTTAGATCTGTTGTTCATAGGGTCACCCTGAGTATTAAGTCGTCAGCTTGATGACACCTGACATTATTCCTGGCTGGATATTAACCTATTCTGGGAAGGCCAGAGCATTTGGGTTTGTGAGCTGAAGAGTACTTGACATGAGATAACATTTAGGCCTCTCTCTACTTTGGCCTTCTGGAATCCTGAGTAGCAAATGGGAAAAAGAGCATTTGGTTCTAGGGTTCAAGAATAGGCAGCAGAAGAAACTTGAAGTTCACTAGTTTATTTCAGCCATACTTCCCATTGAGCCTTTAAGACCTTCTGGCCACTTGAAATCCTTCACTGGCTGTTTACCCCAATACGCTAACCTCCTGAGCTAGATTAGATTTCCTCCTTCAGTGTTCCCCTAATACGCTACAGAGTTTACTATATTCAGACTACTTTTTTTATAAAATAGCTGTATCTTTAAAAGCAAAGAGAAGTCTTCTGACATAAACCATAGAGAATTACACTGCTAACTCAAAGGTACAGTGGCTTCAGTGGTTCAAAGCCACTAGCGGCCTTGTGGGCAAAAGATAGTCTATTCTCGTGTAATTCACAGTCCTCAAAAATCTGCTGGAGGATCAGCTGCGGGTTGATTTTGGCTCAGTAGCAGTGAATTTGAGGGGTTTTTTTTCCACAAAACTAGAACTCCTTGAACTCCTAGGGTTTACAACAATTGATGATGATATATTTGGATTTGCTACTGATCTACATTGGTGAATATTTTATCTAAAGCTTTTTATTTTAGTAGTTAACTAATCAGCTGGTAGGGAAACAAATCCCTTTTCAAAATAGCTTCCCATTAATTCTGTAGAGCAAGAAATACTCTGTTTTGTCAGAGGCAGTAAAGAAAATTTGTATTTAAATTAAATCCTATTTGTTATCCATCCATTTAACTTTTTTAATCTCCCACTCAATTTTTAAGCATATCAGAAAAGAATGTGTTAGGCCTTTGTAACACTAATCTTTTGGGAAGACAATGTTACATCTTTGCTTTGTGGAGATGGTTATACAGCTTGCTCCAGACTAACTGTTGTTTCTCTTGCCTAGGAACTGAAGTTACCATCCTATAAAGGCCAGTCGCCTCAACTAAGTCTCAGACGCTATTTTGCTGACCTGATTGCCATTGTGAGCAATCGCTTCTCTCTCTGCCCTTCTGCCCGACATCTTGCCGTATATTTACTAGACCTGTTTATGGATCGCTATGACATCTCTATCCAACAGCTGCATTTAGTTGCGCTCTCCTGCCTGCTTTTAGCAAGTAAGTATGAATCTGGCCTACATTGGAAATTTTCATTGTTGATCCTAAATTTATGTGGAACTTAGTGAAATAATCATTGAATCCTATTCATTTCATTTCACTAAAGACAGGCTGCAGTGAGTCAGATTTGACTCCACAGTAATGAGTTACAGGTTTTTTTAGGGACTCAGAAACTTGTGTCGAAAGTTCTTCTCATTACATTAATTCTTAACCAGACATTAAGAAATGTCTTTGGAGTCCTGCATACATTTGTATCTGAGTCATACATGTGCAGTATTCTGATGCAAATATCTAGTTCCATCTCAGATTCATTGAATCAGTACCTTGGGATCTGTTAAGTCCAAAGGTGATTCTGATAGACCTTTTCCAGTTGAGAGTGATTGTCTGAAGGTCATGGTTCACAACTGGGATTACAAGACACAATACTTTTTTATTGTTAAAGCACTTTCTACTGGTGACATAATTGAGTACAAATTTCTATATAACAGCTACAAATTTTAAAATGGCTTAGTGTTAAGGAATTGCATTGCCAACACAAAGGTACATGGTCTGAATAAACCAGATGATCCAAGGGGGAAGGATAAGCATTCTCCTCCTGAGCAGTGTCCTGCTGAAAACCCACTGGCGGGTCAGTTATGGGTCAGTTCTGACTCAATGGTACATAACAACAGTAGCAAACAGAAGCAGAAAACCTTCTATAATCATGATGCTTGTTAAGCTAAACAGAATGTGGTTTGGGACCTTTTGGTGCCTTTTTCTCAACATCTGGATGTAGTTGATTAATGCCCTCATTAAAAGAGTAAGACAAGGAGTTGAAATTGGGGTTTTCTTCTTTTAGCTATGTTCGAAGATTATATTTGGTATTGAAGTGGAATGATATATGTAGTATTTATATTATCCATGGCATTACAGTAGGACTTTAAGTCCCACTTCAAAGTAGTATGAAGATGTGCCAGCTGCCGTCACCTGACTTTCCACTGGAAAGTTTGGGATCCCTGTTGCTGCCTCTATGGAACATTCCCTCTACACTTTGCCACCAGAGTTCTTTTTGTAATCCCTTTGGGTTTTGGCTGCTGATAAAACCTAAAGCCGAATAGTAGCCTATGTAGTATTATATTAATTATTTATTGCACCAATCTCAGGTTTTATTTTCCTATCCTTTGTCTTATGATCTTAACTACTTCTTGAATGTCTCTTTTGATAGTTCTTTCAAACCTATGTAGAAATAGGCTGGCTGTTAATAAGACATAACCCAAGAGATACCTGTGGGTTAAGGAGTAATGTTCTTACTGTAGCATTTGGAATCTGTGATCAGAACCTGGTCATTTTGCCAGCTTCATCTTCCAAACCTATCCTCCCTGTGTCTTAATCTGAATTCTTATCAAAATAAATCCATTTCTTGAATAATTCTATTTTTCCTTTAATCTGTTATCCTTTAAGATCCAGACATGATACTTACTGGCAGGAGATGTGCCATGATCACTAAAGTGGTTTTCCCAGGGTGAGGCTTATCCATTGCACACTGGATGTGCTCATCCCTTTATTTCCCCAAATGTGGGAAATTCAACTGCATAATTTGTGGGACTATATTCATGCTCTGTCCCTTTTAAAAAAAAAATCCAGGCATTTCACCAAAACCCTCATAATCTCAGAAGTCAGGTGATGCTTTTACATGAGGCTGTAGTTTAATCTTTAGCTGAGGGTTCATCTTCCTAAGTGATCATGTATACGATACTGTTTATGTTTCTGGCTAGGAAGCCCTTTGTGATTTGATAGTTTGCATAGGACAGGAAGAACCTGCACCTGACCAGTCACCTGTGTGAGAACTCATTGGAAGCTTTGGCCTGCTGTTCCGGCCATCACTAGAGTTTGCCCTATCAAGCCCTGCCTGCTCTGGTCCCCCAGTTCTTAAAGATTAAAAGGCTTATCTTGGCAGGCTGATGTAGTCAGTTCCGAGACGGATTTATTTATATTTGTGGCTAAAATTAACTTACTAAATGAAAATTCTCAAACTAAATATTTATAAATTACATGGTACTATAAGTTCTTGTATTTCAAGTTCACTGAGGAGTGGAATAATAAGAATTACAGCTGCCATGCAGTGATTGGTCTTGGTACCAAGTTCTTAGAACACCACAGTGTGGTAAAAGGATACTTTGTATACCATCTTCATTGGTTAGAAGGGAGTTTTCAATTTTCTTCTTTTTATTGCATGATTCAGTTAAATTGTCACTATCTTTTTTTTACTTTTTGGTCAAACCTGTATAAAATGTAGTTCTTTGGTGTTTTTGGCTTGTTCCCATCAGCTAGTCTTTAGGATCTATATATTTGCTGTAGTTCAAACATTACTTATAAAACTACTGAAAGCACCAGGTACTTCGTCTCTTGTTCTGTGGGTATCCCAAGCTATTCTCCCAGTGAGAAAAGAATGGTTTTATCTTTTTTTTTTTCTATTTGAGAATAGGAACTGTTGAGTTAATTAACTTTCATAGTTTCAGTTCTGGCCAGGGAGGCAGAGTCGAGAGTGTTAAGCTTTCAGCTCTGCATTAAGGTCAGAAATTGAAAAGGCTGGACAGGAGCACCTTCTCATCTTCCTAGCCTATAACTGTGCAACAGACATGCTTGTTATTAGTTGTCATCAATTTGGCCCTGACTTAATGGTGACCTGATGTATAAAATATTGAAATGTTGGCACAGTCCTGTGCCATTTTCATGACAGTTGGTATATTTGAATGCTTTGTTGTGGCTGTTGTGTTTATCTTTAATATTACTGGCCTCTTTTACTTTATCAACCCTGATGTCCTTTTCTAGCATTTGGTGTGTCCTGGTATAGCCAGTATTCTTAGAATGCTTATAAACAGTTTCCAGTATCTGATGTCTGTTTTAACTTTATGGAATTCATTCTAATGTTTCTTAAGTACATATACTCTTGTCTTGCCTTTGGAGACCAATGTTAGCTCCCCAACTGTTTGTTACAAAGTTTATTCAGGTAATATATACCTCCTCAGAATGATTGAACCTGTTTACCTCCTTTTCCCAGCTGCCTCCTCCTTTGGGATGGGTGGGCTTGTCTATAAAAGTGAAGAACAGTTTACAGTTGACGGGAAATTATCCTGGAGTCAAGATGAAACTTAAAATGAAATCAGAGGCTTGTTTGAGTAATAGCTTGTGAAAAGTGCTTGTCTCCCCTCCCCATTAATACTATGCAAACAACATTTTTTAAACTGATAGGTGAAAATTTATATTTCACAGTTGGTTTGATAGATTTTTTTAAAGAATAAATTACCTTTTTCTGAACTTGACCCTTTATTTTTTCTATTTAGTTGATAGTCTTGTGTATTTGTTGATTGTCTTTTAGATGATTCTTAGTGTATATCCAGATTGACTTTTTTAACCTAATAATAGAAAGTCAGAATTGAGTTGACAGAACTCCAGGTACCCTATGCCATGTTTGCATCTTCTCTACCACATTTTTGCCACTCACTGCTGGCTTTGAAAGTGTACTGGTTTCTGTAACTGATCTGCACATTTCCTATGAAGGAAAGAAGACTTGATGTTTGGCTTTTGTGGCTCTCATTATTCTCTGGGAAGCAGATGTGAGTTTCCTGTGCCCTTACTTCCTGCTTGGAGCTTTTATCAATATAATCACATGGCTTCTGGTATTTCCTTTCCATTGAAGAAACTGATCTATCTGTATTGATAGTAAGTTTAAAATACACAGCATTCAACACAACAAAAACTACAGATACGAATGTTGGTATATATTGACTGTCACAGATTTTTTTTTAATCCCTTCATGTACCCCCAGTATATCACTAAAAGAAAATGAAAACAATTCCAAAAGACTTAAACTTGAGCTGAAACTCCAACTATGGTTATTTACATGGTACACTAATTATTCTTAACTTTGCAAATGAAGGTATAAAGTTTTTGACACTTGTAATATCTAAATGTTTTAGAAATATGTATTTCTAAAAATGTTTTCTAAATGTTTTTAAATAGGAACTCTTTAGAAGCTTAATGATACTTTGTTACTAGGTGCTTTTGAGTCAACTCATAACAATACTGTGAACAACAGAGCTGTACCTTCCCCTAGCTGTGCCGTCAGCACCTCTGTCTTGCCCAAATCCACTATTTTGTAGTGTAACTGATGTTTGCTGCTCTTTCTCCTCATCAGCAAACAGAGGTCTTTCACTGAGTGAAAGCTTTATTCCATCTGTGCCCTTATGGTGGACTCTACTTTGAGGAGGCTGTTCCTCCCCAGTTGCATTTTGAGTGCCTTCCAATCTGAGAGGTTCACCTTCTGGCACTATATCCAACAATGCTCTGTTATTTCAGAAGTGGATGGCCAGTCCTGCTACTGAGTGGTAGTCTGAAGACTCCCCTGAAACTTGTCTACCATGCATAACCCCACTAGCGTTGAAATAGAGACGGCATGGCTTCCAGCATCACAGCTTAATCCTAATGAAATCTGTTTATTCTGGTAGTTGTTAGCCGCATATATCTTGATGCAGTAATTTAGTGTGGCAATGTAGATTTGGGAATTCAAACATAATTTTTAGTTTTAATTTTTGGTTTGATTCAGCTCATTAAGAACTTAAATGAATTAGCCAGCCTTGGAGCATTGAACTCATGGGCTGTGAAATTGGTTATATACAGTTTTTTTTGCCATGTTGAAAGTTTCAAGGAGATAATGTAAAACATTCTTGATCCTTAAACAGTGAATTACAGTGTATTAATTTCTTCAAAGGAAATTCAAGCATGATATAAATAGAACCATTAAATTTTATACTAGTCCTTTGAAGTCTGTTACCAGTATTGCTGCTGTTGCACAAATGGCGTGGCCTTTGAAAGCCTTAGTGATTCATCCAGAATGATGAAATTCCTGGGTCATTCTCTTTCAGAAGAATTTTTACTTAGCCTGAAAACAGTGGTTTCCTGATTTCCTCTCTTAAATCTTTATGCAAAGATGATGTTGGATAACTGTCATTAAGGCTACTCTAGGGCTTTCAGATGTAAGAAGTATGTGGCTGATTTGTGAAATTCATTTTTGTGTGCTTAGAATTGGGAAGAGCTATCTGGATTATGAAATCGAAATTATGTCCATTTTTGATCTATTCCTTCTTGTAGCAATAGCAATGAATGGTTCAGACCTAAAGGTGGAAAGTGTCTCTGAAGCAGGAAGGGCCGCCATCTATCTCAGCATGTGCTTTGGGTTTAGACTTCTCAAGTCAGGAGTTTGGTATTTCCTGCCATAGGCAACAAAACATGAAGCCCCATTTACCTTTCCCAACCAACAAATAAGGCATCAACACTGCTTTTTCCAAAGGGAAGGCTCCCTCTGGCTTCAGCACTCGCCTGCAACTTGAGCTGTACTGAGTGACCCCAGTCCTTTCGAATGTTTGTTGCCGTAGTTTTACCATGTAAAGACCCATCCCTTCTGGAAGAAAAACTTCATGGAGAAACCCATTTGGTTTCTCAGCTTGAGACATCTTCTTCCTAGTTCTTCTAAAATATGTTCTTAAGTAAGTTGAAAAGCTTTTCAAGGAGACAAACTTATTGCTGTCAAGTTAATTTCAGTGCATGTTTTGTACCATCGAGTCAGAACCAACACATGGCTGACACGCCAGCAGGATTTCAGAGGCTTTTCAATCACAAAAAGTAGATTGGCCCATCTTTATCCACTGACCTTCGGTTAATAACTGAGCACTTAAGCACTGTACCACCAGGGCTCCTAAAGAAACCAGATGTATTGAAATCAGTATCAAAATATCAAAACAAATTTTTACTAAACAATATATCCTTCTGTAGTAACATGCTAATAACCATAATCTTGAGGTATAAGAGTGAAAGAGAGTGAGAACTCTAATAATTATGTGACATTAAAAAAAAAACCAAATAGCACACACACCAGAAGGGTGACCTTAGTTAACATTCCTTTCTCTGGACTACCGTGAACACTCACCCAAAGACAACTCGTTGGTTCTGGAAATCATTCAAGTACTGAATAGTCTGCAGTTTCTCCAGCTATATGTTCTAGAAATCCCTCCCCAAACAATGCTTTATATAAACTAAACATTTGCTTGGAAATAAAAATGTGATGTGAAACATAAACTAGAAAAAAAATCTGAAGGAGGAGGACGCTTTTCCCCTCCATTGTGCAGTTAAAACCCTGTAAATGAGTGTTTCTTGGAAAGAAATGAATGCCTTCAAATTATGTTTACTGTTTTCTGCTTTGATGATTGTTGTTACGCGCTGTTAAGTTGGAACTGACTCCTAACTGGCCGGCTACAAATGGCATGGTAGAGGAGCAGCTGGTAGATTGAAACCACTTGTCTTAGTGTTGGCAGTACAACACCTTACCCACTAGGCCACCAGAGTTTCCAATAGCTTTGCTTAAGCAGCTATAAAAGAAGATAAAAAGACCATAAAGTGTCTTCTATTTTAGAAAAGAGACTTAACCAGATTTGCTTTGAATCCTTAACAGGTGAAATTGGGAGCAGGAGAATATATATAGTGAGAATGTTTGTGTTAATAGACAATTTTTGTTCTTTTCCTTCCAAAATCTATTAACTTTTTCTGGAAATGAGATTATACCAAAAGTATGTTAAGATGAGGCAATCAAAGTTTATCTATTTTTCATTCCAGTTAAAAGTGTTCTTGGAGTCTATTGAAAATAACTTTTTCTATGACCACCATCAGGCCCCCCAAAAATTTTTCTGAAAATATTCAATTGGTGAAAGTTGAAGGTTACTTTTACCACTGGTGTAAATAACTTCCATTATACATTAGGACATAGATCAGAAATGTTTACATGTTCCTAGTGTATTTTAGGAGGGAAAGGATGAGGAATGAAGGGAGGTAATTAAAGCATGCAATTATTAGAACCATAGAGAGTTGTGGCATGAGAATATCTTCACAAGGAGGAAAATAAGATGTCTTTGTATCTAAGTCCTAGCAAAAAGATAGCAAATCCTACTTAGCAAGTTGCACAGTCACCTGCCTGACACTGTTTTTCCTGCTTATTAGGTAAATTTGAAGAAAAAGAAGATAGTGTGCCTAAGTTGGAGCAGCTCAATAGCTTGAGTTGTATGACCAATATGAATCTAGTATTAACAAAACAAAATTTGCTACATATGGAACTCTTATTACTGGAAACCTTTCAGTGGAACCTCTGCCTTCCAACAGCCGCCCATTTCATTGAATATTATCTCTCTGAAGCAGTACATGAAACAGATCTCCATGATGGCTGGCCAATGATTTGTTTGGAAAAAACTAAACTCTACATGGCCAAATATGCGGATTACTTCCTCGAAGTATCTTTGCAAGATTATGCCTTTCTAAATTATGCACCTTCTTTAGTAGCTGCTGCATGTGTGGCTTCTTCAAGGATTATACTTCGTCTTTCTCCAACATGGCCTACAAGACTACATCGTCTGACTGCTTACTCCTGGGATTTCCTAGTGCAGTGCATTGAACGACTGTTGATGTAAGCTTATTTTATTTCATTCTTGTGTTTAATTTCTCAGGTCTTCCCCATATGTAAGTTTTTCTACAACTACTCAAAGGCATACAGCTTTTAGGTTATGTTTGCATTGGCGGCTGCTTACTGCTTTCAGTAATCTGCGGTGTGAGCAGCACTGGAGAAGGGAACATTTCTTGGCAACTTTCTGGCCAGAGTTGTCACTGCACATTTGCTGTCCAGAGGACTGCTTGTGTGTTTGTATGCCAAGATGAATTCAGGAAAATCTTGCCCATTCCTCATTTCCTTTCCTCTAAATTTTAAAAACCACTGAAATGCCACCAGCATAGCATGTAAGAACTTCTGGTGGCTTTATCTTCCTAGCTGGAAATAGCCATAAAGCTGCCATCAACCAGTTCTTGAGATTTGCACCAAGGAAGAGTGCTTCAGAGGTGGAAGAGTGTGATCTCTTGTTGCCGAGATTATGGCACAGTGACTGCTGCCTGGACAGTGGTGCAGCCCGTAGTGGCAGCTGTTAGGAGGTGGGACCTGACTTTCTTGCAGATTTTCTTTGGTAACCTAGTTAACATACCCCTTTTTTCTGTGTTGTAGTGCTCATGATAACGATGTGAAAGAAGCAGACAAACAGAGAGGGCAGGCAGGACCTCAGTCGGCACAACTCAGTGTGTTCCAGGCAACCTCCCAGCCCTCACGGCCAGTTCATTTTCAACAACCCCAGTATCTCCATCAGACGCATCAGACTTCACTGCAGTATCGCCATCCTGGATCAGACCAACCAAGCTGTCAGCAGATCGTATCTACCACACACACCTCATCTTACACTTTACAGACATGTCCTGCTGGCTTCCAGACCAGTGTTCAGGGCCTTGGACACGTGCAGACTAGTGCTGGGATGTCACTAGCAATACCAGTAGAAGTTAAGCCCTGCCTGAGTGTCACTTATAACCGGAGTTATCAGATAAATGAACATTATCCTTGCATTACTCCATGCTTTGAAAGGTGATTACGCATGAGGATAAAACCTAACTACATCTATTTTACGACTTGAAACTCTGGGGCAAAACTGTTTTAAAACTTCTCTTCAAAAGAAAAGGGTGGAGTGGCAGCAGACCTTCAGATAGCGCTCCAGTAGGTTGGACTGTCCTTTCCATGCAGCATGAACACCTGGGAAGATTAATAATCTCTGAAAACACTTTAATAGTGTGTCATCAAATCTTGTTAAATCCTGTATAAATATGTTCAAGCCCTGGCTGATGGTCCAGAGATTTCACACATATTCAATACAACAGAAAGTTTGGACCAACCCCACTTTGCCATATTGAGATTTGACCTATCTGTGGTGGGCCCTGAGCCTAATGTTGCTTCTATGTCAGAGAATAACGCTTATCTGTGGACTTGCCAAACAGTCTTTAATGAAGGAAAGTTACAGTATTAATTTTTTAAGAAATCCTTTTTTCCTACAGTTTTGAGTTCTATTTTTGATCTACAGATGAATTTTTGGCCAAGTTAAAATTGTAGTTGTCTTATACCTACCACTCTGTGCAGTGATGGGGGGAGGGGAGAACATTTTTAGATGACTATATCAACTTACCACAATTAGTATAGGTGTTTGGATTTATGTATTAAAGTTAAGGGTGAAGTAGATCTCTTATCTTAAAATCATGGTCATAATTTTTGTTGGTGGATGTTTTTTCCTTATCAGTCTCAGATATTTAGATTAAAACACATTTAACTCAGGGACTTTATATTACTTAGAAACAACTATTATGCGGCATGCTTTGGGAATGTTATCATATGAACTACCTTTAATACACTAAATACTCATGGTAAGATGTGTTTTCAAATGAGAACATACAATGCATCTTAGAATACGTGAAGTGGTGGTTCCTATGATTTATAATACATTTATGAGCTGTGCATTTCTTAGTGCAATCAGTGAGCTATACCCAGATTTGGTTATCTTATTAAAAATGCTTTTTCAAGAGAAGGCATAAACTGTAAGTTCTCACTACTAGAGTTCTGTAGGTTTATTTGAAGCGTGGCCAGGGTAGTTCTCAGGTTGTGCTCGAGAGCACTTTGTTTTGTTGTGTGGAAAACAGGTTTCATGAGCAACCTTTGACTCCAGCTTGTCAATCTTAAGCAGGCAAAGGTACCGATCAGTAAATGTCAGTAACCACTTTTGTTGAATTGGTCCCAGAACTGTCCTGGGACATTTCATTGTACTGATAGTGAATGAAACAGCAATAATAGGCATTATAGCTGGGCAATTTGGAGTAAAGAGTTTGAGGTGTATAAAGTTTAAAAAAAAAAAGGACTTATATAATAATTCATAAACTATACATTGTACCTTTGAGGGAAAAGTTATTTGGTGAAGGGAAGCTTTCTGATTTAAAAATTAGTGAGTGTATCTCTTTATCTTTTTTTTAAAAGATAGCACTTGAATAGAAGGGAGCTTACATGGCAGATATGTGACTGCCATAATATGCATTAAAGATAAACGTGTTATTACAAAGACATGGGTATGCAGCAGGACTCTCTGCAATCAAGCCAGTGGCTTTTGTTGGGAAGGGAGGGGTCTCAACACACAGCAACAGACTGACTAGGTGGCTCCAGTAGGTAAACATGGGTGATTGGCCTTGGCCAGTGTGAATTCTTAGAGAAATACCCTTTCCTTAAAATGAAGCTGACTTATATTTAGAGTATGTAGGGAATAATGTGGGGTTTAAAGTCTGATAGGTAAAACAACAGAAAAAACCTACTCAGGTAACAGAAACATTCACTTGTGGCAGGTTTTGAGCATGAAAACTGCTTTCTGAAAGTATCATCACTTTCCCTCTCTGCACAGGCTGCTTATTGGATTGTGGTATGTCCTACCTTAAAAAAAAAACACAAAAAAAACCCTTGAACTATTTGCAGGAAAGGAGGTTCAAAAGTGTATCATTCACATTCAGAACTCAGCAACCTGGAGTCCATTTTTCAGTATTTTAACTACCTCAAATACGCTATGAATGTAAGATACTGGGATAGAGGTCCCAACTTGAAACAACAACCGGTGCCTATGGTAAATTAATGTCTTGTCAAATGCTTTTATTGACTGGTTTAAATGTCATTCTTGTTATAGATGATTATGCCATTTTAAAAAAAGCTTATTAACATTTTCTCAGTTTATATTTAAAGATGCTAAAGAACACTGGATTGAAATTTTTTTTTCCAGGGGTGGGTAGAATAATCAGTTACTGTTGCTGCATATCCAGGTAGGGTGGGGATAATGGTTGTGGAACCAGAACTATTTTTTAAAACATTAGTATTTGATATAAAAACAGCTTGCAACTGCTAGCTTTTGGGGGCAGAGGAACTGTGTGAGTTTTGTTTAATTTATTGATTAGTTAAGTTAGATTTGGGGTTTTGTTTGGGTTTTTTTATTTTTTTTTAATTATTGGACCATCATTAAATGTGTACTGTGAAAGTATGTATAAAGGGCTTTACCAAAGTCCACTACATAGACACTACTCAAGTACAGACTGCAAACCAAAATGTTATCTGTTACCACATTAAGTACAAACAAGTATGGTGCTAAAAATCTACACCAATGGAATTAGATGAGTGCTATGCACTTAATTTTAAAATAAAACTAGTTTTCAGTAAAATTGTTTTGATGTTTTGCTTTCCAGACAAACTTGGCATATATCTCCTTCATTGAACCATGTCATCATAAAACCCAGACTTGAATCATAGTTGTATTTAGTAAGAACTGTCCAGATAAAGAATATAACCATAATATTGCCAACATTTGTCCATTTATTATGAATTCTAAACACTGAATTCCACAAAAGGATACTGGCTGCAGCTGCAGATTCCAATTTATTGAACAGTAATGCAAGCTTCGGGACATTTTGATGTTTTAGAAAAAAGTAGGGACACTTAAGTGAAAGATCTGAGAAGCATCAGGATCAACAGTGACAATGGTCTGTTCATCTAAATAGAATTCATTTGCTACCTAAAATGTAGCCAAATTTGTTAGGAAGAAATGGGTTTCTAGCTGCTCTCAACATCAAGAAAACAAGTCACCACTGGGCTGACAAGCAGCATTATGACAGATGGAGAAAGATTGAAATTGTCAATGATTTAATCTTTCTTGGATTCACAATCAACACCTTTGGTACTGTTAGATCAAGAGACAATGCATTGACAAAGTCTGCCATCCGAGACCTCTCTCAGTTCCTAAAAAAGCAGTGTCAGTTGGCAACGAAGGTCTTGACCCAGGTCATGGTATTTTCAATCACTTGCTGTGTATCTGAGAGCTGGACAATGAATAAGGATGACAGAAGAACTGATGTGTTTGGTGGTGATGCATCCATCCCAAAAGAACAGAGATACGGCTTGGACAAAGTGCAGCCAGAATGCTCCTTGGAAGCATACTTTGGGCATGTTGTTAAAAGGGGGTTATTCCTTGGAGAAGGACATTGTGCGTGGGAAGGTGGAGGAGGGTCAGTGAAAAAGATGAAGATCTTCAAGATGGTTACAGTGACTGCACCAGTGTATGTCAGATGATGAGGATGGCACCTGACAATCTCCTGTGTGATTTAAAGCCTATGAAAACCCACTGTAAATCAGTACTGTCTCAATGGCACATAATGACATCACAGGGGAAAGGAAGCTGGTGGCCAAATGGTAAGGAGTTGTGCTGCCAACACAAAGTCTAGTAGTGGTTCAAATCTCCCAGCTGTTTGGAGGGAGAAAGACAGGCAGTCTGGTTCTGAGTGATTTACAGCCTAAATCCAGTGGAGGGTCAGATGAATTCATTATGATTCAACCACATAACATTACCACCACTATATAAGAATTAACATCTCAAAAGTATTATCAATTATTCCATCACAATGCCAGGTTTTAGCAACAGACCAAGATTGTTAATACGATCACATGACTAGAAAAAAAGTCGGACTCACTTCTGTCATTGAAATGGGGGAACGTTAGGGCTCTGAATGTTTGCTGAGTGGAGCCCTTAGTAGTAGTAGTCTCTCCTACCAATACATCTGACTTTCCTTGTCTATAACCAACGTGTGATAAGTAACTCTCCTCAAAAAAATTTTCTTGAAAAAAACCCCCCACGAATATGTTAATTTAAAAATACTGGTGCCTACTCAAAGTGATGAACAGAATGTGGAAATGATCCCTATCATTAGTATACGTTAAGGAAAATTAACTTTTACTTGTGTAAAAAGCAAGATATGAGAATTCCAAACAGTACTGTGTTGAGGTGATTGTGAACCACCTGATGAGTTTATAATCAACAGTTATGCTTCTCAAGCATTTAGTGAAAGACTTGCTTTCTCAGTCTCTGGCGTTACAGATGTAACCAACACACCAGAAACATTTGAAATAATGAAAAGTTGAGAAATCAATATTGTTTAATGAGTTATATTAATTTTTAAAATATTTTTAAAAATCATTTGGGTGAAAGTTTATAGACTATATTATTTTACCACTCAATAATTTATCCACAGTTTTTGGTTACACTGGCAGCAATAACTTCTGTGTAACAGCACTCTTCCTCCCACTCCCCAGGTAATTTCCCATTTGCCCTGATCATTCCTGTCTTCTGAACATTTTTTTTTTTTAGTAAATGTTGCCCTTTTGATTTCATATGGTAGATTTTATTGAGTAGATTCCTCCCTGGGGTTGTTAATTATTTTATATGTCTGCTTATTATTTATGGATCCAGGAATTAATACAATTAATGTGTTCACCAACATGCAACCTTGGACATGTACACTTGTCTGTGCCAAGAAGTTTGGATGATAGTTATTTGGCCAACTGACCTGAAAAGATTCATACTAGTACCAAAACCTTTCCTCTTTTCAATAAAGTAACTGTTTTATTAATCCACATTCATTAATATCCATATACCATTAATATCACAAAGTAAAATATTGCTGAAGATTACAAAAAAAAAAAACAGCTCAAGTACTGCACAGAGAACTACTAGTAATTCAAGTTGGA